AAATTTTAATGCTTTCCTATTTGATGATAATTTACTACCAGTCAACCTACTAAACTGGTAGACAATACGATTTTTACGAATACAGTCGAACTTCACAAATTAGAACTCTCTGAAATTCGAATCTTCCAGAAATTAGAAATAAATTTTGTAAAGCATTAAACGCTCTAAAATTAGAATTAAAAATTCTAATTTCTGAGCATGTTTTTTTTTGTATGGATTTCTCTATGTTATTTCTGTTCTTTTAGCAGAAATAGATCTGAACAATACCAAATGTTCTATACAAATAGAACATATTGAAAGATATAATGATATAATGTCCTTGACAAAGGATCTACATATGAACCCAGTAGTGTTGTTGAGTATTCAGATAGAAGATAATGCGGGCAATTTTCCGATTTTCGAAAATTAATGGCACCCTAATATATACCTATCATATATTTTCTTGCCAAAGGCTAATGCAACCCCAAGTAAAGAGACAACAGAGGCAACAAGAAGTCATGGAGGTACTCATATATGGGCAATGAGATGGCATATAAAACAATATATCTTACCAATTTTTATTTTTGTTAGTTTGAGTATGCAATTTGGTTTTGAATATGAATATCAAATAAGATATGATTGATACCGTTAGAATTATTCTATTTTAATTTGTAAATGATACTTGTCGATCAGATTGAGTTTATATTGCCCGTGTGCATATAGAGAATTGAAAATATGCACACCATTCTCTCAAAATACCAACAAATTTTTTTGTTAGTCGCTCAAAAAGATTTGCTTCCATATAAATTAAGTTAGTTCGTTTCATCATACAACGGTAATTAAATTTGGAACGACAATTATTCTAAATTATCTGTTAAAAACAGATATTAAATGTCATTGAAATAACAATTCTGGATGGAGAGTCGTAAGGATATGCTGTATTCCCATCATAAACATTACTTATAAGTCAACTAACCGATGTCTTAAAGTATACTGTTAGTTTATAAAAGGAAACATACTGTATTTTTATATACATAATTGTTTCACTTACTTCTTATAAATATTAATACACCTGTTCTAGTGATACACGTGTGTGGGACATTGATTGCATAATGTTCTGTCGCCTTATTTGGATTTCATTAAATTTAATTAAATAAAATTAGTTAGAAACAGAATTACAATCATTTTGGTTATAAATGGAAATTCCACTTCTTATAGATTTCAGTATTTACTTATTTATTAGTCTGTTTATTCAATTGTTAGATTCTGTAATTTTGCATAATTTTCCACTCCAGAACTCACAAAAAATATACTATAAAAGGTAAGACTAAAGTTAAAATACTTCAGATCAAACATTGCCAATTTAGCAAGTGAGGAAAATGTCTTATAAATATATTCTACACGTAGCGCTTTTGGTTCTTACTTGTCTCGAAGCAGTACGTGGACAAGCCAGAATTGTTGGTGGTACAACAACGCCAATAGCTGAAAATCCTTTTGTCGTAAATATACGTGATAATGATGGAAATTTGGTATGTGGGGGTACTTTAGTTAACCCACGTTTTGTTGTTTCTGCCGCAAGTTGTATTAGACCATATAAAGCTAATCAATTAACAGTACAAGGTGGTGCTCAATTATTCTCAGAGGAAGGTGTCAGGCGTAGCATCAATCGTATCATATATCCTGCAAACTTTGATAATGTAACCTTGGACTATGATGCTGTTATGTTAAGATTGGTAACTGAAATGACTGGTACCAATATTGGGACTATAGATTTACATACAACTGGAGTTCCCATCGGTGCTACCTTGAAAGTCTTAGGATGGGGAGAATTAACTGAGAGTGGCCAAAACTCAGATTCTTTACAATCTGTGCTTGTTGTTGCAATTCCAAAAAACGATTGCTTGCAGTCATATGAGTTAACCCCGACCATGTTTTGTGCTAAGGCCCCAGGTGCTGATGCCTGTGAAGGTGATGGTGGTGGTCCAGCTGTATTGAATAATAAACTTGCTGGTATTATTTCATGGGGATTCGGTTGTGCTCGTCCTGATTATCCTGGAGTATATACAAGTATTGCTAGGCTTGCACCTTTCATTAATCAAGCTATAGCGAATAATTCATAATTTTTTATTACTTTAATAAAGTAGTATCATATTTTTATATAATGTAATTATGTAATCTATTTAAGTTTTATATAGAATCAATTATGAAAATTTTTATAAATAAATGAGTTTAAAATGTTTAGGTATATTTTTTATTTGTCTAGTGAAACACTTTTGAACATCGATCGAAAGCACTTAAGTTTTAAATTAATTCATATTAAATCATATTAATTAAATTTAATTAAATTTCTTGAATTGATCATGAAGACCATAATAAGTCCGGTTCTGTGTCGGTCGAATGTCGAACAGTACAAATATGTAACACGCTGCAAAAATATAAATCCACGGTATTTTCATCTATCCACCAGAAGAAATTTTTTTTAGCACATCAATATTTAGATTTATATGGTGTGTACTTTAAATTGCCAAGTGTCCTATCCCGAGAATTCGATAGCTAATATGCCAATTATGCATTACACTCAATATCACTATGAAAATTTTAAATTCTTCAATTAAAATAAAAGTTGACACGAAATTAATTTATTTATTAACACTACTTCTGAGAACAATAACGTCCTAAAAAGTTTAATTTTTATATAAAATTTAATGATAAATTCCATTCAGAAATAAAATGAAAAAATTTTTGTCATTTTTTGTGGAAAATTGATTTAATGGTATTATGGTGCGTATGAGTGACGTATGATCCGCCTGATAAAATATTTTCATTAAAACCTTCTGAAAGCAATTATTTGTTTTTTTGGTTAATCTAAATGTTCTTTTTTTTGCTAAAAAATATTGCGTATGTGTTTGGTGTGAGATACCATAGGACGACATGGAGCTAGACTTGGCCTACCCTTTGGTATCTCCTGCAATGCATGTCTACCAGCTCTCGAAGAAATGACACCACAACACCTGATGTGTCTATGTCCATAACAATTATTTGATTATTACAAATTCAGTTAAGTTATTGTATATAGAACATCATTTAACTTTTTTAATAAAAATGTGTTCTTCATAAAATGTTATAATATATTATTGTTGATTTGAAAATCTAAATTTTAAAAGCAAATACAACTAGAGTGCGTTGACATGCAACGGTAGAGTAATATTCTGCTACCTGGCATAAACATTGATATTATCTATCACTTTTTATCATAAACAAAATCAATAATCATTAATATTACAAACGTGGAGCATCGAACATTAGCTTTAATTATACCTACATATAACTTGCAAAGACAGACACAATGAAAGGCTTATTATTATTAGGCTTTTAATTCAAAGTTTCCCACTCCTGTTAACTCAAACTATATCAATTAAATAACGATTTGGTCGTTTCCATTGACATAAGTTGATTTATACATGTAAAAGAGCTTTTATGTGTCAGAAAGTTCTAGAAGAGCTTTTGTTTATTGACATAAATTGTACGCAGATATTATTTAGTTTTGTAATGTTAACAGAAATTAATTAATTTATTTAAAAAATGCAATTAGAATTTTTTGTTCATTTACTTTTTGTTTCGAGTTTAAATATATCAAATTTAAATAATTTCAAATTTAATTTAAATAATTTCCCTTTTGGAAAATATATTTCGCAACATAGCATTCACATTTTTTGTGTAATTTTCCTTAATTAAGTTGGAAGCATGAAAGCTCCTTGCGCGGCCAATCAACTTCATTAGCAAACTAAATTATATAAACTGTTTTAATAAAGGCAATGGGAACGTACTATAAGGTTTAAAAACGGCTGAAAAGATGTCTCAGTACAAATAATTTTTGTAATGTAAAAACATTAACCGCGAAACTAAGTACCATATGCAACTACATTAAAGGCTATCCAAAAGTAGTGACCGAAAGAAAACTTCTATCGAACAAGCTCGTTATATTAAAGTAAGGCAAATTATTGCTATATTTTAAACGACAAAATTTTTTCACATTTAAGGAGCATTTTTTACGAAGTAAATGAGAATTGAAAGTTCTTAAAAAGCTTAATTCCATAATGGTTTTTTTTTTTTTCAGTTTTTATAAAAGCATATGTAGAGATATATATAAATGATATTGTGTTGTTCATAAAAATCGTTATTTATTGTTATTGTGGAAATGATGAATATATATGAGACTTAACACGTCAATTCATTCGCTTTTAACTGCGTCAGCTTTCAAAAATAGGTCAATATATTTTTATAACCTCTTGCAGGCGTAATATTTTTCTATGTAAGATACGCTGAATCGTCACACCAGAATGTATAATACTATATCTGCGAATATTAAAACGTGTTTCTATAACGGTTCTGCAAAGAACTGTGTGTGATACGTTTTTTAAGACAAACTTTCAGAATAGTGAGGGTAACATTTAATCTAAAATTATTGTGCACTGTCCATGAATGTAGTTTGGCTTACATTTTTAAAGATATATTATTATTAAATTTAAAACAGAAATTTGAAATAATTTTCAAAGTATACCGAACTATTACCATCCGTTTTCTATTCGAAATAGATGCAAAATAGAAATAGGATATGAAATTCTTTGCTCGAAATATTTGATAGAACATTGGTAGGCTTTTCTTTAATGTAACTGTAAGTCAGAATAAATTAATACTTCGTACTAAATAGTACAATATTTTTCAAAAAAGTCTTTGACTTCTATGCAACTAGACTTGTGTGTATATTGAGTTACCACATATTGAATCATACAACAGTTAAAGTACATATTCGACTATTTCTTCTCTGAAAGAAGACATTTTTTTGACATGGTGACAATTTGTCTTGATACTCATATCTAAGAAGAAATCTAGAATACAGCATGTTTTTTTAGAATTTGAATTATTTTTTTTCAAGAAAATCCAACTGAAAATCGGATGGTTCTGGAAGGAAGACGCGATTAAGAACATAAGAATATTAAAATCAATTTTACATATTGTGGGAAGTACAATTTAGAAGGGTAATGTTTAATAACATTTTTGAAACAATATTCTTATGCTAATTGTACTTATATTTTTTGTCATTCCATGTTATATATACTATATAATTTATTTAGTAATAAACAAGTTTTATTAATGCATATAATATATGAAGCATTGTACCCTACAAAAGTTTGGTATAGATAATTTCTAGTTCCAAATTATTTCTATTTTTAAATAAATATGTAGTCAATTTATTCAAAAAATTTAATAAGATATAAAATATAGTTAATCTGTTTACTGTCTATTACTGTTGACTGTTTAAAACATATTTATTTAATATATGAGAGGGTTTTGCAGTTTTAATTCAATACAATTTGATTTTTCTCTCTGTTTTCCTATGACTGGTTTTAATCTGTTTTGGACCGATTAAAAATTGTGTCATTATTGAATATCGCTCAGTTTCAATTATAATTTGCAGTTGAGAACTTCTCAATAAAATGTGTATATATAGACAATACTTGCCTTAATGTCACAAGTTATATACACGTAATTATATTAAAAATATGAAGTAAGTATATATTAAATATGATTAAATGATCTCAAATAAACTAACATTTATATAATACTGTATACAACTACTTGAGCTCTTCCACTTTAAGACCCATTTTGACGACAAGAAAGCTACCTTGACGTATATTTCTTTCGAAATATGCAGAATAAAAATAAATTTGATTATTTGCACAAATGTTACTTATGTTAAATAAACATAATAGTGAACAATAGAGAAAAAATTTGTCTATTTCCTATATAAGCACGAAAAATTTAAATAGATTTATATTTATATAGAGCCTAACTCAAACATCAGATTAAAGTTATGTTATTGAATACATTTTTGAAATTGTCGTTGTTAATTTTTGGCTTTTGTCAATCTGTTTACGGACAAGCACGTATTATCAATGGAACTGTAACAAACGTCCAGGCGTGCCCATCATGTGTGTATATAGCGGACAAAAGTGGTAAACTACTATGTGGTGCTGCTCTTATACATACGAGGTTTGTTGCATCTGCCGCTTCTTGCACCAAACCACATATTGCCGGTGCGATGAATGTGCATGGTGGAAAGACTTATCAATTAGAAGCTGGAGAAGTTATTCCAGTTATCAAAATGATATATTCAATTAATTTCGACCAAACAACTTATGATTGGGATATATCTTTAGCACAATTGCAAAATGCATTTACAACAACATTAGCTGTACCAGCACCAATTAACTCCAATCCTTTAGAACCATATCAAGTTCTAAGGTTTTATGGTTGGGGTGAAATTTCGGAGGGCGGAAAAGTTTCAAATGTACTGCGTACAATGCAAGTCTCAGTAATGACCCCAGCAAGTTGTGAAGAATATCTTACACCACAAACAGCAAGACAATTTTGTACAAATTCCGTTTATGTAGGTGCTTGTGATAGAGATCAGGGTGGCGGTTATTATGATAAGGATGGCCAGTGGTGTGGAGTAGATATTTGGAGTTATGGGTGTGGTCGAGGTTATCCTAATCTTGGTACAAGAGCATCAGAAATTAACACTTTTATTCAAAGAGCCATCACAAATAATTTATAAAAATTTTATTTGTTACTTGTTTTAATAATAATAAAAACGTACAATTTTTTTTATTAAAAGTGTATATTTTATTAATTTAATGTTAAACGAGTCAATAAAGAAAAATTTGCAATAAAGGACATCAATAAAAGCACACGCGATCTTTTTGATTATAAGCTATTAATGATAAGCGATATATCAAAACATAAATTGATATGTCACAAAGGTCTGTTATATCGGCAAAAAGTTTATAAAAGTTTTATTTAAGATATAAAAAATTTTATTTTATTGATAACACAATTTTAAAATATTGTGCTGGAAAAAAAAATTTAAGCTACTTTTAAATTTTGTCTGTTTACTACCGAGCTTTAAGATAAATAAAAACTAAAATTTAAAAACTCTAAGTTAAAAATCCATTTTAGCACAGCTATCATACGCATTTCAGTATTAGATACTTCTGTTTGGGGTTTTAAATTGATTGAATAAATATATTTTATTCTAGTGTAAATTATCACAGTTAAGCTAACATTTATATAGCAATTTCAGCCCTTTAAATTTTAAACACTGTTTCTATGAGAACAAACATATTTTGCGTGTATTTATTCGGAGATATGTAGAATAAAAACTCATTTTATTCTACATTATTTGCACAAATGTTAGTTTTGTAAATTAAGAAATTCAGTATATAATGCAGAACGGGCTCTCCATTGCCTATATAAGACAGACAACCACGAAATTAGAACACAGCCCCGCTTAACATTCAGTCAAAAGCAATGTTTTTGAATACTTTTTTGAAGTTTTTGCTGTTAGTATTTTGCTTCTGCCAAACTGTGCATGGGCAAGCTCGTATTATCAATGGAACAGTGTCATCAATTACTGCGTGCCCATCATGTGTATATTTGGCGAACAAGTCCGGTAAACAAATTTGTGGCGGTTCTTTAATTCATGCATCTTTCGTTGCTACTGCCGGTACTATAACCACAGCGTATACCGCCGATCTATTAAATGTTCATGGAGGAAAAAGTTATCAACTTGAAGCTGGCGAAGTTATTCCAGTAACTCAAATATTTTATCCACCAAATTTTGACGCTGCAAATTTTGACTGGGATATATCTTTAGTAAAATTGCAAAATCCATTCACAACAACATTACCCGTCCCTGCCGTTATTAACGCTAATCCCATTGAACCATATCAGGTCTTAGCATTTTATGGTTGGGGTGAAGTTACAGAGGGCGGAAAAATTTCTAACGTACTTCGTCAAATGTTGGTTTCTGTAATGACACCAGCAAGTTGTGAAGAATATATTGGACCACAGACAGATGCACAGTTCTGCACAACTTCCGCATATGTTGGAGCATGTAACAGAGATGAGGGTGGCGGCTATTTTGATAAAGATAACCAGTGGTGTGGAGTAGATATCTGGACCTACGGTTGTGGCAGAGGTTATCCTAATCTTGCCACAAGAGCATCAGTAGTGAATAGTTGGATTCAATCTACAATTACAAGTAATCCATAAGTAAATGTTTTCTTATTTGTCCTAATAATAATAAAAAATTCATTGATTTTTCCTTGAAGACTTGTAATTTAATTATCAAAAATTTTTATTATGGGAAAGTAAACTATTTAGACATATTTTTAGGAATAATAGTAAAATATGAATCTAATATAATTCTAATATAAATAAGTGTTTGATTGGATTTATCAAAATGGTTGTACCTGTAAAAGATGATCTTGAGAAAAGAAAAATATAGGTATGAAATTGAAAATCATTAATCAAGTTACATTCCTTTAAGTTCCTTTGGGAAAAAATTTACTTGTTGAATAGTAGAGATAGTTAAACGATAAATTGCGAAAAGTTTTTTTTTGAAGCCCCGCAGATATGCTATTAAGAGATATTTTATTTAAAATAATTAAACAATTTAGTTGCTTTAAATATTTGATAAAGAAACAAATATCGATTAAGATTAATTCAAATATCGAAATATTATTAATCGATAACCTATAATGCGAAATGTTTCATGATTATGATTACTTATTGATTACTTATTTATTGAGTAATATATATTATAGTGAAGATAATTAATACATCCTTAACTGCACTTTTAATCATTTATATGTTAAGCATTTATAATAAACAATACAATGTTATTGGAAACTATAATATAATAGAATAATAGGATTACACAATGAATTTGCCTATCGTGTTCTATCTCCGTAACTTTACAGAAGTTTCATTAATAATCTTATGTATAATACAAAGATATGATTATTGTTATAAATGACTCTTTATTTAAGCAAAAAATATCATCTTTCGGTTTAGATCAGGTTAGGTTGTAGTAGTGACCTTGCAATCTAAACCCCACGTAAGCTCAAATAGCGGTCCGTTGTGATACCACGAATATACACATTGTTTATTCGTCTAACGACAGAAACTAGGTTAAAGAACAAAGCGGTCTACGCATACACAAATTTGAAAAGAACAGATACGGTTCCTTCATATAAGTGGAAGTGAACTTATTTATCAAGCCAATAAACTTGGCCGATACTTAATTTCTAGAGAATGACAGCCCTGTTAGGTCGATAAGAAAAGGGCCCCCAAATGTATTCACTTTCTTCTGGCCAATAAGGCGGACTGACATATTTTCCTCCTCTTTTACAAAGCTACAGCCACGTCAAAACTTATTATGGAGTAGACCAGGTCTTATTGCATATTTCCAGAACAGGCAATGTAGTTTGACGCGAATCTTAATCTTCCTAAACTTTTTCAACTATCGATATATATTTTTAATTGATGGCCAGCTAAGTTGTTCTGTGTGTGACACTGACATTCGGGGAGTGAATTTCAGAGAACAGTCAGTGTGTTTGCTTTGGCAAGCTAACCAACTTTGCTGTTACCCAAAATGTTCTTGTACCCAGGTATCTATGCTTATCTGAGTTTAAAAGTGAATAGCCGAGCCAATGGTAGCAGCCCGGCATACTCGAATTGTTTAGAATGTAGTTAAAATCTTTAATAGAGAATTGATAGATGCCACTTTGACTTAAATTATTAAAACAAAATGTCTAGTCATCTAGTTTGGAACCGTCAATCTAAATGCCAACCGAATGTATCTTTATAATTATAATTTCTGCACTTATTATAGATGTAGAATGTTATTTCATTTAATAACCATGTTGATATAAATGTTATTATACTGATATACCAAGAAACAATATAAAAACTATATGTAATTAAATTTAATTAACTGGAAGTTGAAAGCTTCCTTCTACAGGTTACTGTAGCTGCTATATCAAAATATTGTCCTATACCAAATTTTGGATCTTGTCACTGCTTTTACTAGTTGTCAGTTGTAAACTGTTAACTACTAAAGTTAGATAAGATTTTAGTTATATATATCATACATATATATTTATATATTTAAGTCTCATGTGCAAAAATTTAATTCCACAAAACTGTTATTATTTCAAAGTTTATAGCCTTGCCAATTTTTATTTACTTAGTATATTCGTATACCACATGCAAATTAGGCAAACCCAATTTTAATATATTATATAAGCATAGTTATATCCGAGTGAATACAATATGTACCAAAATATAATAAACACATGTGATAAATTTAAGACTAAGACAAATTTGGGTTAAGGTTTAATTTGTTTATGCAAAAATGAGAACATAAACTAATTTTGCGTATTTGGACAATTGTTTAATTGTTTTAAATGCTATCAAGAGCACTCTAATCTCTTGGTAAGCTTATCTATTAGGTAACTAATTTTTTGGTTTTAGTATAAAAAGTGGTGAAAGAATTTAAGTTATTATAGTTGCAATCTACTTCAACATAAGTTAAAATGTGTTTCAAAAATCTTTTTTTATTATCTGTACTAATCCTTGGATTCTTCCAAGCTGTATATGGGCAGGCTAAAATTGTCAACGGAGAGCCAACAACTATTGCAGACTGCCCATCCTGTGTATATTTAGCAGACAAATCTGGTAAGTTACTTTGCGGTGCTACAATGATTCATAAGCAATTCTGCACTTCTGCCGCCACCTGTACTAAGCCACACACCGCTGCTCAACTGGACGTTCATGGTGCTAAAACTTATCAGCGTGAAACTGGCGAAGTTATTCCAGTTCATAAAATGATTTATTCCAGCAACTTTGACCAGGAGACCTACAACTTTGATATAGCTTTGGTAAGATTAAGTAAACCATTCACCTCGGCTTTAGTTGTGCCAGCTGTTAGATGTACTTCACCTCCTCAAGTTTATGATGTAATGACACAGTACGGTTGGGGACAAATAAGTGAGAATGGACTAAATTCAAATGTTTTACGCAAAACTAATCTCGGGGCAATGAAAAAAGAAGATTGTTTGACTTATATTGCGCCACTAACTGGAACTCAATACTGTACGATCAACTCCAATTCAGGTGGTTGTAAAAATGATTATGGTTCCGGTACTTATAACGACAAAGGTGAATACTGTGGTCATTTAAGTTGGACTTATGGCTGTGGTAGAGATTATCCAAATCTTCACTGTAGTGCTATTGCCGTTGCTAACTTCATTGATACTGGCATCTCCAGAAATTTGTAGTTTTTTTGCAAATAATTAATTTAACATAATAACTTTTATACTTTTTATATACATTTTTTTAATATTGAAATAGTTTATTGAAATATGTTTTAATCTTATTTGAGAATAATATTGTGTTGCATATATTTTTGTAATAAATATGTTATAGTTTTGACTTTTATAAAAAATTATCCATCTACTTATATTTATCATACCTATCCCAATATGAGATTCAGATTTATATAATTAAAATATTTGAAAGTATTATTATGGGATAAAGATATAACCAAACTTATAGATATTTAAAAATTGGATATACACAAATCGTTTCACTCGTCAATAATAGCAAAAAGTTTGTACACATTATCTTCAATTCTTCTTCAGAAAGAGAATATAATCAAGACTTAAGACCATCTTTGCTATAAGGTTGTGTCCCTTTCAGTAATGCAGCTAAGTTCACCTTTGAGGAACTGTGAAAATTTCTAATCAAAATTCTAAGAATGATATATAAAATTGTGTATCAAATCACAAACTTTAACATTCATAGAGATCTTTCTATTGAACCTACCTAATGGATCAATTAAAAAATAAACTCTTTTTATAAAAAGTCATATATATACTTGAAGCGCACGTTAAATAAGAATGCAGAACAATATTTAATTCCCTGTAGAGTGGGAAAAAGTCTACAATAGGTATGAGTATTAGATATTTTATCTTGTATCGAACGACAAAACTAATACAGAAACATTAACCGAATTGTTAACAATGTGAGAACTACTTCTACTTCTTTAGTACTTAAGCTAATCGCCTGATCAGTACATTGAAATATATACTACAAATGACTTTTAGCATTTTTTTTATTAAGCATTGTAACGACACGGATTTTCCCGTTTCGTTATAATTTATGCTGGGGTATCCTCAGTCTTTTCCAGGGGGTCGCTACAATAAATTTATATTCGCGGAGACAGGACTTCTCAAAATAAAAGTACGGCGGTTAAATTTTCAATGTAGATTTATTTAAAATATTAATAGTTCATTAAAATAATATGGAATAAATAAAAGAATTCAATTAAACGTAACTAGATAAACTTTGCGATTAACAATTTGTACAATTTTCAATGATTTATATAAGATAGCTTTATATAGATTATTATTTCTTCAATTATATTTCAATAACTTGAGAGTTTAAACGCATCCAAATTCTGAATGTATTTCGTTAGTCGTATTTCAAAGAGATTGGTTAAATTTAATTAGATATGACTTGAGATGTTTCCTTGTGATCAGCTGTATTTGGAAGCTGTCCCTGTAGAGTTCACAGTGGTGGCTGATCCGGTTTCGTGGTTGTACCTTAGTATAATTTCGGTGATTATTCTGCTCGATGAGTACCTAGTGGACGAAACGGGGTTAGTGAATATATACATATATGTCTTGTTATATTGAATATATATATAAAGTGTCTCCGCGCCTGGACTTAAAACCGCCCATGCACTAAACAATTATATATATATTTTAAATAGATTATACACTAGGCTTAAAACCGCCACTGTGTCAGACAATTTTTTTTATATTTATTTATTTTATATGTTGACATACAATGCCACCGAGTGATCATACTAGACACACTAAATTCTTAGAAAATTGCGCCGTCTTTTATACGCATCCTCTGGCACTTTTTGTGTAAAGTAACAAAGCTTTCAGTTGATCTTAGTTGAACTTAATGCACTTTAACACTTTTGCACAAAAGCTTCCTTGTGCATCTTTTTGCAGCGAATTGCATTCTGACGTTTTTGACGTTTGCAAATGTTTGTTTATATTTTACTTTTTACATGTGCGCGTTTTTTTTTAAATTGGATTGAATATAATTTGTTAAAATAAGTAAAATAAGTAAAATTAATTAAAGATATCAGAATTTTAATAAATAATTTAGTAAAATTATTTATATAAACGACG